CTGCTTTTCATTTATTTTTTACATTCTTTGATTGCTTTCTGGTCTTACCTGTCTGCCAAAGTCACAAAGTAATAGGAATTTACTCTTCATATATTTCCACACTCTTTCCTTCCAAGTGCCACAACCCTATTAGACATTTACATGACTGAAACAAGTGTCCTTAACATTTCCAGAGCAAAAATTATCTCATCAACTTATTATTCAGTCTCAATAGAGTAATCATTAAAACTCTCAAGTATTCGTGCTCTCTCAAAACAGGTTTTTCCCAGCTCAGAGAAAGCCCCGGAATATCACCTCCAAGCAGAGATTGAGTGATACCTGCATTTGTTAAATTCCAAGTCAAGTCTTCCTGTTTGTATAACACATTCTTAATTCATTACTTAACATAAGAATGTTTCCTCAATCCACAAATTATATTTCAAACATTCATTTTTTTTAATAGTAGCTCACGGAAGAAATTACTAACTTTAAAATCCTAACAAGCTTTTTGGTATCTGAATTCATTCAATTTTGTCTTTAAAATTTGAATCTCCCCTCAAATGATCTGGGCTACCATCATGGACCATGTTTCTTGCTACATTAGTGCCAGTTTCACTAAATTTTTTTGTTTCAGCATATCTTTTAGTTACTAGGAGAAATACAATGAAAAATTAGCAATCAAGGAAAGTATGAAGTATGCTGTGAAAATGTAAATAAGAAAATTAAGACAGTTACTCTATACAGTGGTTCAGTAACTTCATTATTTTTGTGAAATGTACAAGACAAAAATATTTTACAAGGAGGAAACATTTCCTTTACAAAATAGAAAGCATTTATCTTATGTTTACCTCTGTGAAAACTACTGAAAGAAAAACTTAGTTACTAACTGTTCAAAGTCATCACACCATTACATACATTACAAGGCAACGTAATGATAATTTGTTTGCAATGGTGGAATGTTTACATTATTTGGGGTTCATAATAAAAGTCCATAAGAATGACCAGTTTTAATAAAATATGCATGTAGGGAGAAAACCTATTTGGTGCATTTTCAGATTAAAGCTTTCTCCCATTTTTTGTCCAAATAAAGTATTTGCTTTTCAAGTTAGTGAAATCATATACTAGAGCCATAAGGTGACTTTTTCCTGGATATTACGTTCATGAAGAATTTGGAGTTAATCAAGGTAAATCAAAATGAGACCTATTTCACAACTATACACTTATTAAAATTAATAATACAAATAGTAAATGTATTTATGCTACTGCGTATTTTCAGGCTTCGTCCTAAGCTCTTGATGCCTTTTCTTATTCAGCCTTTACAGAATGTTTATACGACAGTTATTATTATTACCTCTATTTTATAGGCAACACATTAAGGAAATTAGCTCATCAAGCAAGTCATGGAGACCTCCAGGCAGAAACTCACCTAAGTATTTGATTCTAAAACCATCTGTGCCCCCTCTACATTACAGTGCCTGCCAATCGTATTTTAGAGACATTTACACAATGTATTTCCTGATATCTCTAAGCATTTATAATCTCAAACAAACCAAAAAAAACTTTAAAGTATAAGAAGCAAAAACTAATAGACATTACATAGTTCTTTATTAAGACAGAAGGTATTTTTCCACTAAAATTTAACTTCTTTAAACAAAGCAAAAGAACACCAAATATACACACCATAACACGGAAAATTATTTTAAAGAACGTGAAATAAAACAGTGTTGTAAGAGTACAAGGATATATGCATATGTTTCTGCATGATTTTTTTAACTGTGGAGAAGAGAAATGAAAATATATTATACATAACCTTTAAATATATATATAACCTTTACAGTTTTGACACCTGATTGCCCTAAGAACGTATTTGCAGGACTGGTTAACACTCAAAACTGTGCATCAAAACAGGTGACAGAAATTGATACAGGAGACAGCTGGAGGGTAATACTTTTTGCATATGTTTAATGATCTTCAGCCTAAACTCAAGTACCTGTTTCTACTACCTAGAAAGACAGATGTTCATAAACAAACTTGAGACCTTTGAATAAGAAATTTAAGTTTAATTTTAAATTTAATTTTGACTGCATGCTTCATGAGAGCAATGATACATTGGCTTATACCTCTTTATTTTCTGTGTTAAAATACTGTTCAGCACATAACTGAAGCACAGTTAATACTCGTGTGATAAACCACTTAAGTAACATTAGTACGTAACCTAACAGAGTTAACTTTCAAGTTCACCTAGAATGACATCGAGACAGAGGTCACATAGGGAAGAGTTTTTCTTTATTTAACCAACTTCTACCTTAAAACTATTGTATAAATAACATCTTTAACACAGTAAAACAAATCCACCATAAAAACAGAAAACAAAGAGCAAACTGAGAAAGTAATTTGTAATAAAATGATAATGTTCATATACCAAACTCAAATAAAAGAACTAAAAATATGGCAGGAAAAGCGTGGCTGTCTTAACAGCAAAATGCTCACAGGCCAGGAACACAGAACTCACAAAAGAAAGAATAAATGAAGCAATAAGAAAAATGTTTAGAATTACTGGTAATCAAGTCAATTCAATTTTGAAATATTTTTTACATATATCAATTAGACAAAAAATTTTTTAAAATCCCTGGTGGGAGATGAGGAGAGAAAGGGCAGTGTTGGGTACTAGTCTTGGGAGAACAAACTTGTATATTTCTATGGGTAAGTTCGGAAATAATTTTAAAAACATATCCAATAAGGAGTTTGATTTAAGAAACTGGGTTAAAAAATAATGATATGATAAAGAAAGTATTTTAAGTGATAACAAGAAAAGACACAAACTTTAGGAAAAAATCCATAAAAGAAAGCCCAAATATGAAACAAACCAAATAAAACATGATTTAGTGAATTTTAAGACTACATCTGACTATAATTAAAGATTCTTCTTTGAGCTATACAGGTTTTGTGGCTTATAATTTTTTTTGTCTCTGAGTCCAATCATAATATGAGGTTCTAATTGTGACTGATATTTACATAATTATATTGCTGTTCATTATTTATCAAATTTTAGATTAACTCTGAAAGCAAATCCTAGGAGAATTAATTACCATAACAGAACAGCATGTAAGAGTTATAAACTCTGATAGCAAAATACTGACAAAGCTGAGAGAAACTGGCAAAGGAGAAGTCAGGAGAATAATGTAGGAACCTTTTTTCCTCATTTTGCATAATGGAGTGTCAAGAATTATGGCTCCAAGTTGACTAAACAATTTATCAATAGTAATGTATTCAACTATAAGTTACAGGAAAACAAGGATTCAGAGAAAGGAGAACACATGTGAGTGTGTCTGCCTCAGTCCTGGGCTGGTACATCTGGTGAACAATCTCATGAAGAGCTGGGACCCTTCTGTCTTTCTTCTCTAACAGGGTCACAGAATGCCTGCTGCCCCCC